CAAGAAAATCTACTAAATCTTGGTAGGATCCTTGGGAGTCTGTGCTGCTTGAGCCACGACCCACTCGGCGCCCTCCCCCACCCCCAGCTCAGCATGAGGGAAGCTCCACTCCAGGAAACTGTGGCCATGGAAACAATGCTCCTCAGCCTCCCAGTCGAACGATACGCTGGCCCACAAAGAGCAGCAGGCTGTCAGCACTTCTCTCCCACCTTCAGCTCCAAGCTACAAAGGCTAAATTTTTGGCAAGTATGGCCAAAAGAGTGAGGCCTCCCTTCCTTCTCCCAGCCCCCACTTAGAGGGCGAAGGACCTTCCTCAGGCAAGTCAGACCACCGGGACCCTTGCCCCAGCTAACTCGGAGGGCAGAGGTTCCCCACCCAAAGAGGCAAGCCGAGAACACTAGAGACTACCGCCCTACCCAGTACCCTACTCTAAAAGCAGGTGTATCACTCAGAAGAAAGGGGTCCACTGCCCCCCGCCAAAGCTCTGGAGCAGGGACTTAGAGATTTTCTCCCGGGGTAAGGGCAATCTATAAGAACAGAGGCTGTGTCCTGAGAAGCAACATAAGAGGCTTCTCATGTGAGGGGAACAGACTTTGCCATAAAAAGAAATGAGTTACTGACACATACTACAACACGGATGGATCTTGAAAACATTATGCTAAGTGAAAGATGCCTCTTATAAGGACCACATACTGGGTGACTCCATTTATCTGAAATGTCCAGAACAGGCCAATCTAGAAGAGAGAGAAATGAGATTAGTAATTGCCGAAAGATGTGGGAAGAGTATTGGGGGAAATGGGGAGTGACTAACGGGCACACGGTTCCCTTTAAAGGGAATAAAAATGTTCTAAAATTAATTGTGGCAATGGTTGCAGAACTCTGTGAATATACTAAAAACCATTGAATTGTACACTGTAAATAGGTAAATTGTATGGCACTTGAATTATATCTCAGTAAAACTGATATACACAATAATCACTTCAGGAGCCCCGAGGAGAACCTAAAGAGACAGTCATTGTGTTCCAGAACACCTAGTTTTGTTAGAAATTTGTATGACTGCTGTATTTATTAAGATGGTGAGGACAGAAAAAGACTGGCTTCTGTTATGAGCCCCAGAAAGTCCTAAGAGCCAACACCTGTATTTGCTGTCATTGACTTGTATGTCACCTAGGCCAGTCTAGGTCGCTTTGGGGTGAGTAGCTGCGCTGATGCATTACTTTATTGAGGATTAGTGATTCTCCTAAGCCACGCTGGACGTGAAATAAAACTCCTGTGGTGTTGCCTAACTCATTGAATGGCTCCATCGTGTTTCTAGTTGCCGATAAGCCAGACACGTAGGCATCACCCCCCATTTCTAGTGTGTCACCAAGTCCTGTCAGTTCTGCCTCCTAAATATCTCAGATTCATTCACTTCTTCCCATCCTCCACCATCACCAGCCTAGTTCAAGTTATCGTCTTCGCCTCAGCTACTGTAGGAAACGTTTAGCTGGTCTCCTTGCATCTCTTGCTTTCTTCCATACCTTTTTCCATCAAGTGACCAGAATGATGTTTTAAATTTTCAAATATGTGACCTTGCTTATCTTCGTCTGTAGTTTCCCAGTGCTCTTAAAGACCAGAATTCTGAATGTGGCCTACATGGCCCTTGCCTCCTTGTCTGTCCTCATCTTGAGCCACTCTTTCCCTCACTCCCTGCCCCGTTAGCCACACTGTACTGAGCGGCGCCGCAAATTCCTGACTGCTAACAAATCTGAGAGCCTCTTTCTTTACCCCGGCCCTCATTATTAACCTCTGCCTCCTCACTGAAATTTGTTCCTGTGTCCTTTATTTTCACACCGCTCCTCTGCATTATCTTTTCACTCCTCCACCCAACTGTGAACATTTCCATGATTCTCTGCTCTTTCCTTCTCTATATTCTGTAACTCTGTCCTTCAAGTGAATTGATACACTTCAAGTGTTATCTCAGTTCCAGTCCATACGTGCAACAGCTTACCTATCTCCCAAAGCTACCTCAAGCCCAACATGATTAAAGGAGAACTTATCATTATCTTGGTCCCTTATCCCCAGAATCATCTTCCAGTTCCTCCTTTCAATGGTATCAGCATTCCCTCAGCCACTCAAACTATGCACTTTCGAGCCATTTTCAGTTCATGTATCTTTCATTTCCCCTATCAAAGCCGTCACCAGGTTTTATTGATTCTTCCTTTAGAATCTTCCTTACCTCTTTCCATTGCCACTATGTTAGTTCTCCCCGTTGTGCACGTCTTAGTCACTTCATCCTTAGACTCTTAACAGTTCCATTTAAACAGGCCTCGCTGTTTTCTCACACTCACGTCCATCCTAAACACCACTGGCCTTTCACTCTCAAGAAAACTCTAATTTCATCACTATCCGTTCCCTTCTCAGAAACTTTCAGTGATTTCTCATTGCCGGCAGAATACATTCCAAAATCTATGGCTTGTGATGCAAAACCCTTTACGCTCCAGGCCAGTGTTTCACAAACGACATTCCACAAGATGTTAGTAGATGCTCTGCATACCCTGTATTAAGCACAGTCACATGATTTCTTTTCTGTAAAACTTCCTGGGACGCTGAATGAACGAATGTGCATGATACTGCTCCAAGAGGGTATGTGTAGAACGCAGCGTGTCCAAGACATACGGGGCTGAAGAGCCCTGTTTTTATTGACCATCTATTTTTCATGACACTGCTGTTCTGAGGAAAGGATTTAGGACCTACTTAGGTAGCCCTGCCCTACATTTCTCGTCCTAGTTCCCACTAAGTTCCCTACATAAATTGTCTGCTTAGGCCAAACACGTATTAGTCCCCCTGAGACGTGCACAACCTCAGGCACAGCCCAGGTCTTTATTTGTCCTGTTCTGCCCACACGGAATCCCTTCTCTTTCTCTGTATGTCTAGATTATCATTTTTATTGAGATATAAGTCATATATTATACAACTCACAATGGTAAAGTATCCGGTTCTGTGGGTTTTCGTATGTGTTGTGCAAGCGCCATCAGTGTCCGAATCTGTAGCATCGCTGTCACTCTGAAGAGACCCTGTAACCAGCAGGCGTCCTTCGCCATTCCTCCCCGCCCCAGTCCCTGACGGCCACCAGTCTGCTTTCCACGCATTTGCCTCTTGTGGAGATTTCCTGTCATCTCCGGATGTCTAGGTCCGACTCCTCTACCCTCAGGCCGTGTTTGTTCAGTCATCTGGTCGTCCGTTCAGTTACGATCGCGACCCTGTCAGACCCTGTGCCGGGCTGTGACTTTACAAAGGCAGATGCCACGCTGCCTGCAGGGAGCTCCCGGCCGAGTGGGGGAGACGGCCAACACCGTGTTACGAAGTGCTGTTGCGGTGCTGCGAACTGCGGGCCGTAGGAGCCGAGTGGCGCGGGCACCAGGGACTGCCTCACAGAGCGGGGAGCCTTGGGGCATTGAGGCATTCGTTCGTGCATTCATCCATCAAGCATCCGTTGTGCGCCCCTTCCGTGCCGGGCATGGTGCGCAACTAATGAGCAAGGCTAATGCCCTGCACCTCCGCGAACGCAACCGTCTGGCGGAGGACATAAATACATGCACAGGGCCAAAGCGAGGTGCTCGGAGTTGTGTCAGGGACGTAAAGCTTGCTGTGGAAGCAGAGAGAAAGGAGTACGGGACTCTGCTTGTGAGTTTGAAGAGAGAGTAGACATTTACCGAGTGGACAGGGCCGGGAGGTGGCGTTCCAAGGAGAGACGAGACCTCCTCTGACTGCGCCAGTCTGATGCTCGTTTGTTTGTTTTTTAACCGAATTAGAGCACCGACTGCCTGTGTGACTCTGCCTACTCCTTAATCACATGCCTTGTGTAGTCCTCTCTGTACACGGATGCCCTGGCTCCCCAGAGGCACTGTGTGGCCTTTGGGATAAGAGCCTTGTTTGGTCCCTCCTAGCGCCCTCATTCTCAGAGGGTTTTATGCACGGTGATTTCTGTAGACCCAAATGAGTGAAGGCATTTCAGCTGAGACGTGGAAACTCCCAAGAAACCGCGGCCCGAGTCTTCTATCACATTTCCCCCTTCAGGGGCCTGTTGCGTAGATGAAGGGCTTTAACCTGGATCGAGCACGTGAATGCTCCCTTCGTGGTCCATCTCCTATACAAGAACCTGGAAAGTAGCTCCTCAGACCAATCCCTTTCTTTATTGCAAAATCTTGTGATCAGCCACGTTGAAGACTACTCTTAGGTGAAGGGACCGTCTTAGAAATGGGCCCTTTTGTTCATAGCTAGGTACGTGTCGTCAACACAGAAGAGTAGTATTTTCCTTTTAATTACAATGGGTTGACTTTAAATAAAACGGCTTACCCTCCAAAACCAGGTTTTGCCTTAAAGCAAAAACTGAGATTTCCCGGAGAAGGAATTCTGCCTCAAGATTGTAACAGCAAAATCCTGCCCGAGTCTCCAGCCCGCTGGCTTGCCCTACAGATTTCAGACTCAAGATTGCAACATCATCTCTTACCTGAATATGCAGCCTGCTGGCCTCCCCTACAGATTTCCAACTTGCCAGCCCCCACAATTGTGTGAGCCAGTTCCTTAAAATAAATATATATGCAAAACCTAAAGATGAGTATCATTTCTATTCTAAATACCCACTGATTCAGGTCGAGGAAATTAGCAGATTCGATAAAACTGCTTCTTGACAAGCTTCTCTGAGAATTAGAGATAATAGACTGAGGGCACACCAAGGGGAGCCACCAACAAGACAGAGGGTTTTCTCCTGTGTCAGGGAGACCAAGGCTGAGTCCAAGCGGGCCTCGGTGCTTTTTCCAGTTTACATGTCACTTCCTGAGGTCTTGCTGTGGAGCATTCTACAGCTGACAAACCTTCAAGATGCTCTCCTCCTACTCTCGAGGGGCTTGGCATTGTTCATGGAGGCTATGGCTCTTTCCTTGGTGTTAGCAGAGCACCCATGTTTAATAATGTTTAATAATAACGGGCGCAGCACTGATACTGTTCTTTGATTTCAGGAAGGCTACCCAGAAGCAGAGATTCTCTGGCTGATGATCAAGTCCTGGAACACTGGCATATTTATGTATGGCAGGAGAAAGTATGTCTCTGCAGAAAAATGGTGTGGCCTAGCCTTGCGTTTTCTTGACCACCTTGGCTCCCTCAAGAGAAGCTATGAAACTCAGGTGAGGAGGGAAGAGGACTAGGGGGGGCCGAGAGATTCTATCTGGGCACCCGGTAAAGACTCAGCCCTACCTTCTTGGCTGGGAAAGGATCCTGATCATTGTTCCTCGCAGTGCTTCCGCAGAACTACGAGACTTAGGGGACTCTAAACAGTAACGTCTTAGAGTGAAAACCAGGAAGATGGTGAACGCGGGGCAGGGGGCACCTGGGGAGAACAAGTGGAATCTAAGAAGAATGCCCAGATAGAGCTCTGGAAAGATGCATCACCGTCGATGCCAGTGCAAGTGGGGAAGGACTGACCGCTGGGCCAACGATGACGGTTTCCGGAGGTGTTTTCTCGAGGGAGTAGTCTGGGTTGCAGACTTCTGGGCCACTAGCTAACCAGGAGAGGCTTGAGGGGGGGTGGGGGGAAGTCTTGCTACCAAATAAGAGCAAAGGCTATTTTATGGTTTAAGCACCTTCTCCCTTATAATCGCTGCTGTCCCGAGTCAACGGACCTCGTGCGATGGGGTCCCTCTTCCCTAAGAGTCTGGGAAGCGGTGCCACATTTCCTTGTGTCTCAGGAAATCTATCTGCTGTTCTCTTTCCCAGGTGAATATTCTGTATAGTGAGCTTGTGGAAGCGCTGGATCGAAAGAAGGGCTCACTTTTTAATGAAGAGTGAGAAGTGCCGGGACAAGGTGTATGATATGAGCAGGCAGGCTGCCAGCAACCTGAAGATGTTTGGTCCTGAGATGCTGAGCATTTACGTTCTTGCCAGACTTTCTCCTGTTTTGTTACTGTTTTCTCAGGACCTATTTTTGATGTTGTCAAATGACAGTTTCTAAAATAAAAGCATTTTGACTTTTACTGTGGTGACCAGCTCATTTCTGGGGGACAAATAAATTTTCCAGGGTGCTCAGGATATTATATATTGAAATAGCCCACATGAGAGCCGGATGACTCATGCCCCATGTGAACAGAAGGAAATGTTCATCTGAGTCCAACACAGGGTGCATTTCATTCCTGAAGTGCTCAAATTCCCACTACCTGAAGATAACAGAGAACCGTGGGCTCTCCATCAGAAGGACCTTAGTCGTTATTGGGCCCAGAATTGAGCAGACTCATAAACTCGCTTGATGAGGATGGGTTGTCCCGCCTCTTTCAGAGCATATCCTACGACGGGGAACTCCCGAGATAGCTCAATCCCCCTTTTTTGCTCTCTAATTGGTAAATAGCCCTTCCTCATACTGAACAAAAATTTGTCTCCCTATAGAGGTCTGCTCTCTCTGTCCCAGATGCACTTTGGAGAACTGAAGACCGGAAGTCAGGCTCCCCGCTATCCTCCTGGCTTTTTCTTCTGGTTGAACATTCCCAGAGCCCTCAGTGGTTCCTCATCCGATACAGGCCCCTCACCTTCCAGGAGCCAAATCCCACGTTCCAGTGAGGTCTGACCCACACAGAGTTCAGCGGCCTCATTCTGGCTAGACTTGCATTAGTGTACGGTAAGATCACGTTGGCTTTTTTCTCCCAGTTGATTTGGATTAACAGTGTTTAACTTTGGATTTCGAAATAGTTTCATAACTTACAGCAAAAGTGCAGATAAGCACAAAGAACCATACACCCTTCACCGAGCTTCCCTGTGTGTCGACATTTTACCACATTGTTCTGTCATTCTCTTTGTTTCTTTCTAAACCATTTGAGATTAATTTGCAGACCTCTTGCTCTGTGACCCCTTCATACCTCAGTGTGTATTTCCTAAAAACAAGGATAGTCTCTTCTAGGACCCCAGCTGAAGCATCAAAATTAGGAAATTAACAATGATGACATTCCACTGTCTAATCCATAGACCCCATTCCAATTTCACTGATTGTCCTAATAAAGCCCTTCCCAAGTTCAGAATCATAAGTTGCATTTAGTTGTCATGTCTCTTTCATCTCCTACAAACAGAAACAGTTTCTCATCCTTTCATTCATGACCTTGACATTTTTGAAGAGTACAGGCTAATTACTTTGTAGCATGAACCTCAGCTCCGGTCTGTTCGATGTTTCCTAATGATTAGATTCAGTGTGAGCATTTTTGGAAGGTCTGCAACAAAATTGATATGTTCTTCTTGGTGCATTGTACCAACAGGCATGCAATGTCAATTTGTCCCATTACTGGCTAAGGTTAAGATGGCATCTCCCAGATACTTAGTAATTAATAAGTAATTGTGAAGTGTATCGCAAAAGATAATTGGATTTTCTGTTCCTCATTAAACTCCCACTTCCTAGTTTTAGTATCCATTGACGAGTCTTGCCTGAATCCATTTTTACCGTGATGGTTGCTAAATGTTGATTTTTTTTTAAATCTCCATCATTCCGACTTCATTTTATTAGTTGGTGTTTGTTAGGTGGAACATTTTCTTCTCCCCCCACTAATTTGTTCATGTTTTTTAAATGTTTTAACACAGACTGATGGATTTCTGTTTTCTTCAGTGAGTTATAATCCACCATATCATTATTTTTCTAGAAGCTCTTTATTTTCTGTCAACTTCATTTCTGTTTGGTGTGCCTTTGTGGACGAGCAACTTCAGACCACTCGGCGGAATGGGTTCCTACCCACTCAGTGGGAGCTGCGGACCAGTCCTCAGTAGGGAACTGCTGACAAGGCACCGAGGGCGCCTGCGCGTCTTCAGACCAGTCTGTGACTTCAGGCTGAGTAGCGGTGAACTCGGGAGCTGGAGCCTTCCGTTCACCATGGAAGTCCTCCTTGCTCACAGCCTATTCAGCGGCGGCCTGCCCTTCCTTTTCAGTCTCTTCAGGATCTCTGTAGAGGTAGAGATCACACATGCGCGGAACCTCTGTATCATCATGTTGCTGCCCAAAGCGGGCACCTCTGCCCTTATGACACCTCCCCCCGTTTTCTGAACACTTCCTTACTTTGTGACCCAGTCAGGTGTTCCAGGCTCGTGTTGTACTTTCCCTGCCCCGGCACCGGAATCAGGAATTTCTCCCAAGGATCCCTGGTTCCTTTTCACTGAGAATGGTAGCCAGTGCCCACGTTCTGGGGCACTCGTTACTGGGGCACCATTGTTTCTAGGTCCTCTCAGTGGACAGAGCTAGGAAATAGTATCCAGAGATCTTTTCTTTTTCTTTTTTTTTTTTTAAATAATCTGTACACCCAGCGTGGGGCTCAAACTCACGACCTCGAGATCAAGAGTCGCACATTCTACCGACCGAGCCAGCCAGGCGCCCTCAAGAGCTAGGAAATCAGTGTGTGTCTGTGTACATACACATACACGTATACATGCATATCTGTAGATACATAGATGTAGATACAGTTGACCCTGGATAGAGGGTGCCAATCCCTACGCAGTCGAAACCTCACATATAATTTTCTGACTTCTCAACTTCACTACGAATAGCCTACCGTTGACTGGAAGGCTTACCGACAACAGAAACAGTGGGTTGACACGTATCTGGTATGTCTATTATATGCTGTATTCGTACAATAAAGTGAGCTAGAGAAAAGAAAAAGTTACTAAGAAAATCATAAGGAAGGGAAAATACATTTACAGTATTGTATCGATAAAAAGCCTATCTACGTACATACGTAAAAGGCAGTTCGTACTGGGCGCCAGCCAGGGTGGCGCATTTGGGTAAGCAGCCGACTCTTGGCTTCGGCTCAGGTCGTGATCTCGAGGTCGTGGGATTGAGCCCTGCTTCAGGTTCTCTCTCCCTCTGCCCCCTCCCACTCATGCTTCCTCGCTCACTCGCTCTAAAATAAATAAGTTAATTTAAAAAAAAACCCTGAGTTCATACTGATACCTCCATTTATCAATCCAACACCAGAGACTTTGTTCTAGCCTCCTTCCCCTTCCGTATTTGCAACTCTCTTCTCCCAACACTGAGACACCTGGCTCCTGTGAGCCTCAAGTATCCACCTATTGGCTCAATCTCCCTGTTCGAGAGCGTTCTCCCAGCTATGCGGCTGTCTCCTCAGTCCTAACCCCAGCAGCCTGACCATGAGGGCTGCCCCTTTGACAAGCCCTGGAAAACACACCGACCGAGTCATCGACTGAGCCCATCCACCTGGCTAGCAAGCACGTTGAGTCCCTAGCCGAGTCTCGGCCAAGGGGAAGGGCAGGGACCACAGTTTGCATGTAAGCAGGTATTTTATACTGTTGGCTCACTTGACTTACCGTTTACTCTCCACCCCGCCCCCACCCCCACCCCCCACCCCCCGCCCCTTCACCTTAGCGTATTCCTCCTGAGCCTTGAGAAGTCAGCTCAAGTGTCAGTTCCTCTAGTTCCTCTGAGAAACCTTCCCTGACCGGGCCAGGTTCCTTTGTCATATGCTCTCCTAGCACTTGATTTTATTCATCACAGTTTGTCAATATATATTTGTTTATGGACTAAATTTGATTACTAGCTGTCTCTTCCAATAGTCTTTAAGCTCCAGAAGGGTGGACAGTGCCCTGGTTTTCCTCACCACTGTATACCCCCAGCGTCTAGCACAGTGCCTGGCACTTTCAGTAGATACTTGTTGAAAGAATAGATGAAAACTTCTTTTTTTCATACCTTCCTGCCATTAATTAGTGTCTCAGTGTTTCATCTGAGTGCATTCATCTCTATTAAATTGCTCTTGCCAATTGTTCTTTTTGAGTAGAGTCTGTCTGTATTACGTTGTTATCCCTCTCAGACCTACTTTATCTGCATATTTGGTCAGCATGCCATCTAATATCTTTTTTTTAAGATTTTATTTATTTATTTGTCAGCAGAAGCAGGGGGAGGGACAGAGGCAGAGGGAGAAGCAGGCTCCCCGCTGAGCAGGGAGCCCGACGCGGGGCTCGATCCCAGGACCCTGGGATCACGACCTGAGCCGAAGGCACACGCTTAACCCACTGAGCCACCCAGGCGCCCCTGTCTTGAGCTATTCTTAAGTCAAGGACTTTCTAAACCCTTTGTGATCACTAGCTTCCATCTAGGTGTCATGCAAGCCATCCCTTCCCATAATGTATTCTAGAAACCTGCCTGTGATTAAGCTGAAACCTACTTGTCTAAAGCTTGTGAGGCCTACCATCTGCCCTTTAAAAAGGAACATATGTCCTTCTCTAGGCTTCCAGCATCTTTCTTATTCCCCCTGGCTCCCCAAAGGTTACAAACAGCAAGCGCAGTGATCTCATCTACAGGTTATCCCTCTCAACATCCTGAAATACAGTTTGTCTGGGGCCAAGAGGCTCAAAACCATTTAAAGCACCTTGCTGCTTTCTTAGAACTTCAGTAGTTAACTCCCATAGTTCCCTTTTAGCAAGGTCTGCTTGACCCTTTCCAGGCTAATGGGCAGAGTTTGTATGGCGGGGAGACCAAAGCGAAGTGGAAATTCAAGAGGTTGTCTTTACCTTTGTTGTCTGTTGTCCATTTCGTGTTTAAGCTCATACCCTGAGGCACTGTTGGAATTCTTTTTGCATGTGCTTATAATTTTAAAAACTAATTTTAGTTAAAACAAAACATACTATCTGCCCCAATTTGCAGGCCTCAGGGCCTCCTTCCTTTGCTTTCTGATGCAAACAAAGTGGAAACAGCCTCTTTTTCTTACTCCTAGAATTAGCTCATCTGGGGCCAGGCCTCCCTGATGGGATTTTGGCAATTCCGCGTTACCGTTTCATATTCGGCCCTGCTCTTCCGCCTTTGTCATGTCTCATCATCAAAGGATTCTCTGTGCATTTACATCATTTCCTTTTGATACCTTTCCTTTTATTTCTTCATTAAAATACCTCACAGTTACATGGTCAGAATTTAGTTCCTAAGGGCCTCTCACCCTTTGGGGAAGGGAGGCCAAACAGAAAGTGCCAGAAAACGAACAAGTCATGCATAGCTACTGGGT